GAAGGTCCTCAAGAAAAAATGGCTGCAAATCTCAGAAACCAGAGAAATATTAAAGTCACAAACCCATAGAGCTAGTTATAACAGGACAGCTGCCATACTCCAGAAAGTAGGGCATCCACACTTTTCAAAAGAAAGTAACATAAAAGCAGGTTGCCAGGTAGATCATATGCTGCCACTAGCCCCTCTTGCTTTCTGAAATAGCAGAGCCTTTGTAACATCAAGTACTGCCTTCCTCCAGCTGAATCAACGGGGAAAAATTTTTCAAAAGGTTTTTTGCCACCTAATACCTCTGACTATGAAACTATTACCAACACTGTGTGGGGAAAAATAAGCATTTTTTTTCCTTAATGCAGTACTTTGAAAAAAATTATCTGTCCCCTAAAAATAGCCATAGCAGCATGTGGAATGGGAACTGGTGGTGCCCAAGCCCTTTACAGGAACACTCTGCTTTTTGTCCATTCTGGCTCATCTGAAAACAAAATTTCCTCCTGGAGCTAGATGCTAAATTAAGACATAAAGCTAATACATTTTTGCTATAAATGTGAAAAAAACCCCTAGACTGTAACTCACTATGTCCACCTTTTTAAGAAAAGGCAAGTACCCTTGCTGTTTAAAAGCCGGTTGTGTTCAATTTTAAACACATGGGTGAGATCAGATTTGCTGGTATTCTATTATGGGTGGGGTGGGAATAGAAGAAGAAACCTCCCAAAAGCTGCCAAAGATCATAACTTACCTTCTCCTTGACAAATGAGAGGCATTTAAATGTTTCAAAAACTCATATTAATCTGATCATAATGCTCAAAATTTGATAGGAATAGGCAATTCTTACTAGCCATTTTAGTTTTATTTAAACACTAATTAACTGGAGTTAAATACTAAAAGCAAACACAAACAAACTTTCAATTAAAAAAAACCCCACCAAACAGAAAAATACCTCTCAGCTATATATAGTAACAAAAATAACTGCCTCAAAAGTTCCACTGCAATGGAAAGGAGAATATAAGCTAATGTTATATTCATTTTTAAAACAATAAAAGCATGGTAGAAATGTAAATTAACAAGGCATTCTTGCATACCCCCACAAGTTCTAAATGCAAGCAAATTCCAGTCATTCCTAATGCTTGAAAGGTTACAGCCAGCTTCTCAACAGAGATACAACTTCAGGGAAGCAGAAACCAACAGTTCAAGTTTGAATTTGACAGAATAATTACTATTACAAATCTCAACAAAATCTTTCAGAACTGCGAGCCTGAAGATAAACAAAATACAACCTTAAAAGCAGAGCACCTAAGGTTCTCCATGTTTCAAGTGTCAATACTCACCAATAACTTTAGTGGCAGTTGCTTGGCACACAGAACTTCAGAAGGCGCTTAAATGTTGACTTAAAAATGTAACTTGAAACACTGCCATCCTTACCATTATTTTTAATAACATGTTGGCCATGTTTCTTTATTATACCTGAATCACTGAAGACCAGATACCCAGAATGACATCCACATCCCCCTAGAGTGGCCCTAGATAAAAGTGAAGTGCTCTGTACTATACACAACATGCGCGTAAAAACCTACTCAAGCAGAGTTAGTTTTGCTGCCGCACAAACTTACTGAGAAGTGATCTGGTGACAGAAAGAATGAAACAATTAAAAAACCCTTGCTTTTCCTTGTGCACCAACAGTCCATGAACTATGTACAGTAGAACCTTTCTTCTCATGCACAGCCAGCACCTACCGGAATCAGTTTCTCTCAGCACCCATGCAGGGTAATGTATACATGTGTCTCACAGTGAAACTGAGGTGTTAGTACAAGCCATGCTGGCTTTAAGTTAAGCTGTTAAGAAAGTAAATTAGATTTCTAATTCAGTAAACTGAACTTTGATTTTAAAAAGACTTTAATTGCAAACTAGTCTGCATCAGAAAGCTGAATCAGTATTTGGTCCAGTCACTACTGGTGTAAGTAATTCATTACTACAGCTATGATGGCATACATTCTCTCTCTCTCTCTCTCTGTTAAAACATATTAAAAGAAAATACTCTATCAATAAATAATTTCTAATTAAAAAAAAAACAAAAACAAAAAACTGACGACTTGCCATATAGCTCCAAATCTTCACATCTCAACCCAGAACATACTTATTACAAAACCATCAAAATACAAGTATGAGGAGTTTTACGTGTAGTTTTAACTGCTATCAATTACTTCAAACTTTAGTTTAGGCAAGTAGGTGTTATTTTAACATAGGAAATTTAGGGTGATTTTGGTCCCTTTGTAAGTGCATTCTTTTGAACTCCCTGAGTACTGTACATTCCTTTTCTACAGTGATTTCTGACTGGAAGATACTGAATAAAGTGGTTTTGCATTGCTGCATATAAAGTAAAGTCTATTGCTTACAGTGAAACACAGCAGCATAAGATTTTACAGAATACGCAGGTGCATGTTTCAGCATTTTGCCCCTACACATCTGAACTAAGTCTAAGCCTTCAACTCCTCCAAATCTCCCTTAGATTCTAGAAGTGGCTAAATTCACATCATTAAGTATAATCAGATTGTAATTACTATCTTGGCAGATAATTCTTACCAATCTATTGTCAGTGACATCTGCAAGTTAACACAATGGAGTTACTCCAAGCCCTCTTGGACCACGTATCTCAATTCAGGCACTCCGAGGTCAGTAGCTATAGTTGTGTAGGCTTTTTTATAAAAGAAATATATATGGTACTAACCATCCAACCACCAAACTCCACATTTTCAAAACACAGTAGTTCATAGCAGTCAATAATTAAAATAATAATTAAAAAGATTATACAACTTCAATACGAGTACAAACAAAATACTTGTACTGAAGTATGAGCACAAGTAAAGTACTGAGAATAAAATGTAGCTTACCCAGTTTTGATAATACCTGCGAGTCAAAGCAGTGCTGAGTATTTGCTTATTGACATTTTCTATTTCCATAAAAAGAAGACTGGGCAAAACATTCAAACATAAAAAAAAAACTCAGGTAAGAGGTGTTCAATTTTTCAAAAATAATTTATAAAATAACAAATTATCAACAGTTCATTATGTAGCATTGATATAAAGAGTTTAAAGTTACCTTTAGTATATACTGATTGATTCAGTAAGATACGCTGATACCAAACGAGGTCTCCAGTTACTTAAGAACTCTGAATTATTTAGCTAAGGATAGTATTATACCTTAAATTCATCAGATATGTCTGAATCTGTGCACTGGTTAAAATATAATATTGTAACTGCACATAAAAAGAAGAATTTATATATAGTTTTTACAATGTATGCATGTGTGTGTATGTATTTTTTACTCACCAACAAACACAATGCAGACAATAGAAGGCAGCATAGAAATAGTGTTGAATATAAAAATGTTTCATTTTCAATTTAGTAGAAAACGTGTCATTTTCATTTTGGCAGACTTACTGGTACTACTATACAAAACCAGGAAAAAGGTCATGCAAAGGGGTTAAGATTGTTCTTCCACGTATATGAGGGAAAACAAAACCACCTAGCAGATTTGGGAACACTTTGCAATTAATTGGAAAAGCTTCCAAAAGACAACATAAAATACAGAAATGGTTTAGTTTTGTTCTTTTAAATCTGGTTGTACCCTTGAACAGACAATGAGCTTTATTTTGATGGTCAATAAAAAATGAAAATAAAGTCTTTCTTCCTTCCACAAATAGTTTGTTAAACTGAACTGACTTCAGAAGCACAGTGGTACAATGGTCATTTAAAAAAAAAAAAAAAAAAAAAGAGAGAGAGAGAGAGAGCGAAAGAGAGAGAAAGAAAGAAGTGTTATGGACACAAAATGTTACCAAAAATAACCACACACAAAAATATATTTTTCTTTCTCCTACTTACAATTATGCTTGTTAAAAAAAACCCCAAAGCTTTTACAATATCAGACCAACTATTGGCTATTCTAATAAACTTGGTAAGTACTCTCCCTGTACATCCTGTTTCTCTTATACACAAGGTAATGTCTCTGAAGGAATTCAACTGGGGTTTTCGCTTTGTTTTTTACAAACTAGGTACAGCTTTTCGTATTTCATTGAGTTGTTCATTCTGCTTTAGCTGCAACGTCTAACGTGTTCCAAAACATATTCAGGAAAGTGCAAGCTGCAGACTTGCAAGCCATCCAGCTTACACGGCATCCTTGGATATTCATCTTCTTTCCATTTGTTTTCCTCTGGATCAAAGGTGAGAATTGAATCACTGTAATGACCATTGTAACAAAGGCCACCAAGAACCATTATCTGTTTGTCCAGAACAGCTACGCCATGACCGCTCCTACCAATTGGCATAGAGGCCAATATAGTCCATTGATCAGTATCTGGGTCATAAACCTCTGTAGAAGGACATCCTTGGGATTCAAAGGAGGCCCTTAGGATCACACAGACACCACCAAAGACATAAAGCTTACCATTATAAGAAATCATTTTGTGAAAGCATCTTGCATAATTCATTTTGCATTTGTTCTCCCAACAGTTAGTGACCACTTGAGTTCTCCTCGTTCGCTGCTCTACTGTCCCTTCTTTACTGGGATCAAACACACACACTTGCTTAGAAGTTGAAGATGATGTAATTCCACCAGTGATATACAACTTGTTACCAAGTACAGTCCCTTCATGTCCGTATTTATTGACTGGATAGGGATCCACAAATTCCCATTTATCTTCAGTAATATCATACCGTTCAGTTGAGTAAAATGTTTCATCCCTGGTTCTCCCAGCCACTGCATAAACATACCTCCCGATAACTCCAACAGCAAACTCAGAACGTGGAACAGACATGTCTGCCATTCGCAACCAAGTGTTCTGTCTTGGGTCATATCTAAACACTTTGGATGAAGCATGAAACTCACCATCTGGCCCCAGTTCTTCCCCACCTAATAGGAACACAAAGTTATTCACAATGGCAAGGCAGTCTGGTCGTAAAGGTACTTGAGGACCCTCTAGTTCCCACCAGACCCTTGGTTTGTGCAAGAGAAGAATTTTACTGTTTACCATACTGTGTCCTATCATTCCTCTAAATACTGCAGTCTGGGGTTTGGCAGAACGAATTTTGTTCGATTTCATTTCCATCAAAGGCTGTTGGTGAACGCTATGAAAGTAATTCATGGCTTGGTCAACCTCATGTCGCAGCTGCCGGGAGTATCGATAAAACTCTGATGTTTTTACCTATGAATACATTTAAAAGATATTAAAATTCTGACCAAGAGAAACAATCCAGAAAACCTACATGACTATGTGTCATTAGATTATTTTACTAAGTTTCATTCAGGCAACCTTGATAGCAATTGCGTATGTGCATGAAGGGTTAAGCTAACGTACTGTTATCCAAAATCCTGAAGGTAATTTAGTGATTAACAGCAGTGACTAATATTTTCAACAGAATACTCACATGCAGAATTTAAGCTGGATTTAAGCACAACTGAAATCCTCAAGTCTAAAAATCATAATTTCTTCTTCCCCAAAAAAGCCTCTGCTTAATCCATGAATTGCCTAAATTAAAAATGTACTATTTTTGTGGTTTTGAAAAACATTCAACACAACCATTTCGTCTTTACCAAGGTCTACTCTAGTCTAATTCCTGCTAAATTCTCACAGTCAAGCCCAAGCAGGTATTCCCAAATGCCAGGCTCTACTGACAGGGCTATTTAATTGGGGTGGGGTGGGAACAGAAGGTGCCCAAACCCCTTCCTTCAGAACATGTGACTGCACTAACCAAGTGTCATGATGGTTACCTTATGGTTTCCCCACTGTGAGTCTCCATGTTAACAAATGCCTTTAACACAAAAGGAAAACATCTCAACCTATAATCCTCTGGTTGTGCGTTTATTTAGTAAACTGTAGAGGTCGGTTTGAACTTCCACTTTCCTGTTGAGAGTTACAACGTTTGAATTACCACACAGTAGTGAAGTGCTGCTCCTCGGTGCCATCTCAATTTGAAAAGGGCTATCCCTGTTCAGTTTTATTGGAGTTGGTGAGGGGAAGATTGTAAGAATGTACCTTCCCAGGACTACTGTCTAAGCCAATTTAAGTTCCTGAGACTGGTCCTGAGACAATACCAAAACATGTCCCTGCCTTGAACATTTTAATAAATCTAGCTCCAGGCAGCCCTTGGGTCACCCTCAGTCACACCCTTGGGTGTGATTCTCTTCAAAGAGGCTTCACTCTTCCCATACAGTATGGCCTAACACAGCATTCTGAATTAGACAAATGAAAAACCACTAGATATTGCCAAATCCACAAATCCTAAGTCCCAGTTTCTTTCACATAAAACTGGATTGCTTTCAAATACTTAAAACACCTCTAGTTCCCACCAGCTCCAAAAAGCAATGCTCTGAAAAAGTGTCAGGCCACTCTGAAATTTCAAAGCAACAAGATAACATCAGAAGCTACCTTTTTCAATATCCGTTCCCCTACCTCCTCCTACTCCCTGTCCCAAGGGACAAAAGCCTGTACCACTACTTACCTAAGGGATGGTGGTGTGGGTTTTCATGGATATGAAAAGCAACGTGGAAACAAATGTTCTTTATATGTTGTGAATAAAGTAGTAGTTTGTTCCATAACCACATACTATTCAAATTTTGTCAGCTTTCTGTTAATCATTTATCTTCCTTGTATAGTAATTAAGACATTCTGCTGTCAGATAAACATTTTAAAAAATCTTCTGAACTGTTTTTATTGGCTGTGATTCACACAGATCTTGAGACTGTTTTACACACCAGATTTTCAAAGCCCCTGCATGCTAACCTACCGCTGTAAAGCACTACACAGCTCAAGAGCCAGAGTGCTCTGATGGTTTTATTTACACTTTTTCTTTCCCCACTTTATTTTGACAAGTTCAACTTATCTTTGCTGGGAAAAAGAGGATGGTCACATGCAGATTGCACATATTATCTTCAGAGCAATATCCAGGTTCTTTCTACCACTTTTAGTGGTGGTCATGATGGAGCAAAAAGGTTTACTTAGGTAGAGAGTTTATAAAACACCCGCAGTAAGTCCAACTCTTCTGGGGAATAACAGATCTACTTTCTTATTGCAAACAAAGAATATATCATAGGAACACAGAAGATCTGCTCCCATGGCATTTGTTAGAATAAACCATAGACCTTGCCTGATTGAAAAAAAAAAATCATGAATTCCAGAAAATATGGGGGGAGGGGTTGCAGGGAGAACCACAGCACAGAAAAATGGTAAAATATAGAAAGCCTTAAAGGTTACAAAAAACGAAACAGGAAGTTAAAATAACAAAGAATCATGGATGTTACTTTATCCTTAAAATTAACTTTCAAATTCTAAAACAGGGCAACTATTTCACGCATTCTCAAACTGGAGCTATCACTTTTGGAATTAAACAAAAAAGAGAAATGATTTTTGTTCCACCTATATGCATTTCAGGTTCTTCTGGATGATTATGGAAGACAACAGAATCAACATGCTTACAATGTGAAGCATGCCAGCAAAGCCTGGCAGAGATGGAAAATGTGTTTTCTTTCCCCCTCAACATTTACAACTCTGTCTTTAGATCTAGAAATTAAAATGCCAGACAGAAACTGGAATTAAAATAAGCGTCATATATTCTCACCAATCTACTCCTTCACGTAGCCTAAATCTCACCCCATGAGAGCATGCAAAAGGAAACAGAGTACCTCTAATTCCAGAGACAGAATCTCAAGACCAGGGAATCAATCTATTAGAAGTTTACTACTACTTATCTTGACAAAGGCACTGACAAATCCTCAATCTCTTACCTTAAACCAGAAAGACATCAAGGAGCAAACGCAACTACCGGTTATAAGCAACTCTTTGAGACTGAAGTTTGTGGGGAAGCTAGCTACAAGCACCATCTTGAAGAAAAGAACATCAGAATATATAAGCACTAGGAATTCTTACAATATTCAGGAAAAAAACACAACCACAAAACCACCACAAAACCAAACAGAGTGATAGATTACCTAAATTCTGGTAAGAACAGGTAGTTGGAGGCTTCCTAGACTTTGCTGCTGATGAAAAATATCAGTGTTTCTAGCCTTCCACCTTTCACCAGGAAAACCTCTGGCACACAGGAGTGCTACCTCTCCTGAGAGTCAAATGGTGGTCTAAGATGAACGTTAGGATGTGCCTATATGAAAGTACAGGCTGCTCGTGCTTGCTTGATGCAAATTAATACAAAGCAAATGTAGTTCCATTTGCCCACTTCCACATTCACATGCTGTCTGTGTGAAATCTTGCAGAATTATTTGAAAGTCCTATTCAGCTCATAGTAAGAAAAACCTTGCAAACATCTACACTTCTGAATAATTTTACCATACTTTTAATTACTTGTGTGTATGATCTAAAAAGAGAAGCACTAAAATTTAAGCATTTAGCTATTGAAACACATAAGTAAGTTGTGAATATATTTTAGTGTCAGCAGATTAAAGAACATGGCCTTCAGCAAGCCTTTTGTGGGAACTGCTACCTGACATCCAAAATACACTGAAGGAAATCCCTCAGCATTCAAAAGCAGGCTTCTGCTGTTACCCCTAAGTAGCAATAAGTAGTTGATCAACAAATACCTAAGCGCTTATCAACAGACCAATTTTCCTGTTAAGTTCAAATGGAGAAGCTCTAGAAGGAACATGCACCCAATTACCAACATACTCAATTAGAGAGAACAATGACAAGTTTCTGCAAACATTCAAAACATGGCAATGTACACTAGCCATGATGAACCCTGAAGTAAAGCCAATGTGCATTCTTAAGTGTACATCATCAGCTCTGAATTGATAAAACAATATCAATGCTTCATAGCATTTTCAAAGTTTAAAAAAACCCTATTATTTTATCTTGCTGAAGAATCTCAAAGAAAGTTTAAGTTGGACTTCCTTGCCAACTTCAGTCTTATTGTAAAAAAGGAATTTAATCCAAGTGCTTTGTTCATGTGATTTTTTTACATTCTTTCCAATTCCTTCTCTACAGTCTTCTGGACAAAACCTTCTTACAGAAGTTCTGCTGGGACACAGTGCTAATGTAAAAGCTCCCCAAAGAACTCTAACAAAACTATCTCATCGCATCATCTACCAGCTACAGTGGTTCACAGCTGGACTTTTAGCTACAGAGACGGGGAACCACATAAACAGAATAAAATGTGTTATTCCATTAAAAAAAGAAGATGAACAAAATAATAAAAAACATGCACCTCTCTACTCACCCCCTGGGCAGTCAACACAAAAAACATCAAAACTTCATAAAAATCACCAAGATCCCTCCAGCCATAGTAAATTGGAACTCTTCTTCATTTGGAATCAGTGAAACACTCAGTAAAAACCACTGGCTTTTCAAATGGATGCAGCTATTAATGATTGCAAATTTTTCCGCTGTATTGCAATGCATGCTTTCTAGTTGCATCACCTACACATGTTGCAGAATTTTCCATCTACATTTTATGAAAAAGCAAAGTAAAAAATGTCAGTCATTGGATTCTAATCTGAAAAGTGATCCCCACAAAAGACCAGATGTATCCTATGTTAAGTTCACCATCTTTCCCCCACCCCATTAAAACAATTCAGCAAATTAATAAAATGCAGGAATACCAATTAAATGCAAGGTAAATGTTCTGTAACAAAGTCTGACTTCAGTATATAGCTCTTTCCCCACCCCCCATACAACCATATACAGCTATTGATCTGATCTACTTGTAGATTTATTACTTGGGCTTTTAGGAAAAAGTTTTCAAAACCATAAAGAAAGGCTACTTTTGAAATGCCCAAACTAAACATCTATTATTTGCACACCTAGTAACTAAATCTTAACATGTTATTATATGGGGTAAAAAATAGCTTGGTTCCTTCTGGTAAAACAACACAGAAAAATCTGGATGGCTCATAATGTGACTGCCATCTCTAGCCACATAAGCAAGGAACTATTTCAAAGGTTATAAAATTGTGTGTATGTAAGTTTTCTAAAACTGTAAAATTCTGAATGTGGAAGTGATGCAACTCAAATTCAACTACTAGGAATACACAAGCTATGCTACACTTTTTCAATAAATAATGATGGCATCTATATTATGACTTCTAGAAAGCAAATTCTTCCTTTTACTTTCAAAAAATTTATATTTTACTAGAGGTTAAGCTGAATCAAAACTAAAGATCCATCCATCCTACTAACTAGGATCCTTATCATTTTCACATCTACTTATCTCTGGCCACATTCTAAGCACAATTATAAGCCCATCAACAAATATTATCAACATGTTAACATACTTATTCTGAATCAAAATTCAGTCAAACAGAAAAAGTCACACGTGTGTCTCTAAAACAGCAGCAAGCAAAATTACTTTGCAACCTGTCATCAGTATACATAGCACTGGACAAGCTGATGTACTTAACTTTCCCTTTTTCCAGCACGGGTCCTTACTTAGTTACATCCCATGGCCAGTATGAAAACTGGTCCATACCAGTGTAGGGCTTTGAAGGGTTACTCTGCAAGTGCTACAAATCACTTGACTGTTTTTCAGCACAATCGTAAAAAGACAAGAGGACAATAGCCCCAGATTCAGTATTTTACTGTTCCTTTTTAGAAATTGGCAAGAGAAATTATCACAATCAAGCTGGAATCTCACTCAAATCTAATCTCTCAAATCAGAGTGGAGCAAACAATCTATATGTGATGTTCAGCACATAATAAAACCGCAAGTAAATTATCCAAGTCAGCAATAACCTTTAGACAAAAATATCACTTATTTAAGAGGGGGCCACTAACTTCATCCACTAGAAACTTCTTATTCTAAGTTTCAGCATACAAAGTTGTAGACGTAGACACATATGAATTACTAGACATGGAAGTAAATGAGGAAAAAAAGAGAGAAATACAACACATTTATCAAAGGTAAAGTCACAATGACATAAAATTAAAATGACATCATCTTAAAGGTTACTATTTTCTAGGCACAGAAAAGCACACACAAAAATAATGTGCATCCTACCTCTAAAGCAGAAGCTGATGCACATAGTGATTAGTAAGTTTCTGATTTAAACTGGGAATTTATAAATTAGAATGGGCAAGTCATAACTAACCCTACAGACTGGACATCAAAAAAACCAACCAACCCTTTCAATTTTAAGGGCAGAGGTTTTGAAACAACACTTAAATCTAAGCAGTACACAGAAACTAAATGGAGCTTAAACAGTGTATGAAGGGAAAATCAAGACATGGTTGCCTACAATAACACAGATATGAACTCAATGATCTAGGAGAAATGCCCTCTAACTTTTATCTCCAACCTTCTTCAAGGCCTACAGAGCCATGGATATGTTTCAAATAAAGGAGAGTGTAACGTGGATAGTGGAACTCGGGCTTCTCCCCATACACTTTGCCTTTATTTACTAAATATTCCCTAAATCCTTACTTCATTTATCTTTCCATTTTTCCCTCATATAACTGCATCTATTTTAAGGCTGATGAACAAGAGGAGTATCTATTCATACTTCAGAAGCAGTTCTTCAGGACAGTTTAGAGTGAGTAAACAGGCTGCACCTTCACTCCAAATGCACATCAGCCCCAAGGTATAAATCTAGAATTGCTCATCAATTCCTTTTAAAAAGGACAAGACATCCAACTGAGATTGTAAATATCTTCCAAAAAATGATCTAAGAAACAGAATGGCTTAAGAGGCCAAAGTATCCTTATTGTGACTTGCAAGGTTAAGTTATATAAGTTATTTATACACTACAATGACAGCCATCTTAGAAATGTGTATTAGAAAGATTACATAAGAGTACATATGACAAGCCAGCGAGCGTATAGCGAATACAGTTCGCTGAACTGTGAGAGTCAACCTTCAGATTGATTTGATACATTCACACAGGCATTTAGTATGTGCTGGCTTCAGGAAAAGGGTGAATTCTCTTTGTGGATCTCAAAAAAACAAGCAGTTTTACCAACATTTTCCCCCTTCTACCCACAGAGAGAGTTCTCCTCAGGTTACTTCCAGAAGAGTTAACAGACATGCTATTTTATTTAAAAAAAAAAAAAAAAAAAAAAAAGTGTGGTCTATATTTTTATGTTGGCTCCAACTGCAGTTGTCCTTTGTCACTTGTCATGCTAGATTACTCAATGCTCTCTAGTCATGGCAAAGAACAACTACATTCCTCGCTGCAGCAATGAGTGACATACTTATTTAGCTGTGCTTCCCTCTCCTGAGTTGTCCCACTCCAGAACCTGCCCTGGCTCCTCTCTGTTCACACAGACAATTAATGGAAAGGATATTCACAGACAAAGCTTTTACATGTGGGTACGTAAACTGTGATGCTGAAAACATCTTTCCTCAAGTTGTGCCTATCTGGCCACTTGGCAGTTGTCAAGATAAAACATGAGAAGCAGGGTATGCAGGATTCACACCACTGATACCAAAACCAGCTCCAGAAGTTACACCTACATGTAATGCTGAAGACCAACATATACTTTTCACTTGCGCTTACAGAAATTTAACTGAAGACAGCTTGATGCTTAAACGTGTATCCCAAAATCTCAAAGAGCTAAAGCAGACTCTTGCACATGAGCATTATCCTATTAGATTGACCTTAAGAATACCCTGTGAATCCTATCAGTTGATGCAATAAGGAGGTAAAAGCATTATTAAAAACAAAACACTACACAATATCTTGAAGAGTTCAGCTCTTACTAAATGTTTTAACCCAATATAAACATTACATTACTGTTCTAAAATATGTTTAGGTATTTATTTTGTTTTTTTCTATAGGCTAATATAGGATCATAAATATATTTTATGTACTATTACTTCCTCTACTAACTGTCACACACAAAAAAATTCCAAACCATAAAAAGTCATCACTCACAAGTAATTAATAGCTTTTATAATTTAAAATACAAGTAAGTGTAAGCATTACTGCTTAAATGATGCAGTAGCCCTTAAAACCACTAATAACAATATAACCTTATCTGTATATTCATTAGACACCAAAGTAAAAATATACGGGAAATTAATTTGTAAGAAGCCCAAACAAAAACACAGGGTCTTAAATCCTATTAATTCACTGAGAGATGAAAAATACATACGTCAAAGTTGTATCTTATCACACAAAATTAACATTGTTAAAACAAAATAGCTCAGTTTAAGTAATTCCTAACTTGAATACCCTTACCACTACTAACCTGCAAGACAGCTGCTAACAAAGTTCTGTAATTCTTTACTGTTGACAAATACCCAGATATTCTCAGGAACTAGAAAACATTTTTGTCTATTCTCCAACAGAACAGCAGAAAAAGCAAGTTATCTTTTAACCTCTTAATATATACAATGATCAGGTGAATTTTAGATCATCTGTTACAAAGATTCCTCTGATATTTAAAGTAAATAATTACACTTCACACCGTCAATAACTTTCATTGTATTATGTGCCCTGTGTAGAACCAAATTTAACTTTGCAGGATCAGGGCTTACTTCCAACTGCTATGTAACAGCACAAGCACTGAAGATACAACAACAACAACCACCACCCTGCAGATTTAACAGCAGATGCCGGTTTCCATTTGTAAACAAAAAAAAAATCTGTACTTAGAACACGTAAAATCTACAGTCACTATGTTTTGATTATATTGATAACAATTGTCATGACATACGCCCTACACACTGTATGCAGCTATAAAATCTCTGGAAAGTAAGAAGCAACTTGTGGAAAACAGTAAGAACGATTGAAATAGAACTTGATACATGTGACCTTATTTTAAAATGTCATTTCCATACAAAGTCAACTTAAAAACACGTATTGTAAACCTACCTGTTCTCCAGCCACTGTACATACTATTGTCTAATAATCAGATGATAATACTTTTAGATGTTTGTCTTCTATAGGTTTATTAGAAAAATAAATGCTATCTTTCTGTTCCTCCCAATAGGCCTGGGAGGTAAATTTAGATAAAATTTGGGAGTTAATTTAGGTAAATTTTAACTATGTAATGGCATGCTGCCCTAGCTAAATGATGAATCTTGTCTATTGCTTTTCAAATGCACCAACCTTCTCAAAAACACTAGATGGTGTCATCAAACAAAACCTGATGTTCTGAATGATGGTGTCCGTATGCCTCCAACGTCTTCTATCATGGCGCAGCCAGGCCTGAACAGCTTCATACAGCTCTATCTCTGGAAACCTGCTCAGATGATCATTATCCAAGTAAGACATGAGCTTCTCAAAGCTCAGATATGAAAGGAAGTCAGGTCTGGACATGAGTGGCACAAAATTCTCTAGCAGAAAGGAGTCCAATTTTTCCCTGACTCCTTCGATGTTTACACCAAAATCATCCAGAAGTCTCATAATTTCTGCACAGTTTTCTAAGCAGATTTTAGCTAAGAGAAAAGAGCAGCAAAATTTTACCACCTCTATAAGCTGGACATACATGGCAGCCTGAAGGATTTCATGAACAGTGTTCATACTCAGTTCAATAGTTCCATAGTACATGAATTGGAGGACATGACTGAAGCCCGTAGCTGTCAGACCTTTCAAATGGATTTTGTCCTGATCTCGTTCTCGCATGTCAGCTGTGAACATAATCCTGAAGTAATCACTCTGGGTGGCAAGTAGTGCTTTATGGGCCTGAAACTGGTGGTCTTCAATGACAAGTGTGACATCAAGAAGCAATCCCTCCTCATACAGTGCTCTGAATCCAGCAGAGACACTGGTGTCATGGATGGAGGAGCTAAACCCTTCCACGTCCCCTGCCATGAATCACCTGGGGGGAAGAAAAAATAAATAAATAAAAATAAAAATAAATTGTTATTTCTAATAACATATCACAAGCTCTTCCTGACCAGATAAATCCTAACTGAGATTGCCTGCATTAAGACTGAAAAGTCTCCAGTCTTTGTTTTCTCTTGAGCTGAAAAATCAACTTAAGAAGTAACTTAAAACACAAACTTTAAATATTTCTCCCCGCCCCAAATATTTTCATTTTAAAGAAAGGGTAATGAACAAGAATAACTATGCAATACTGACAAAGTGATTCCTCACTCCAAGCTCCTTAGTGGTCAGATAATGAATACGCAATGCTAAAAAGGTTGTCATGGTTTTCTTCTTCTCCCCATTTCATTCTTTCTAAAGAATTTATCTCAGGGGAGCAATAAAACACCCACTCTTGAATATCAAAGTTTCAGAAAGGAAGACAAACTTCCTTAACTTCAGAAACAAACTCCAGCAGATCTGCACAAGGTATAACCTAAAATTATTTTAGTCTCTTTAAAAATATATGTCAATTTACTCAAAAGTTATTTCTAGGAAACTGAACATTTTCAAAGATACTATTTAAGTTTGTGTGTTTCATCTCTCTTGTAACAACATAGTCCCTTCCCCCCC